GAGCGCCTCCGGCAGCAGCTGGAGGAGGCGAATGCCCGCGCGGCCAATTTGGGCGCCAGGTAGGGATGGGGAATGGGTGCCCCAAACCAATGGGTGCCCCAAACCAGTGGGTGCCCCAAACCAGTGGGTGCCCCCACCACCGCGTCAGCATCTCAGCTCATTCCCAACCCAATTAGGTTGACGGCGGCTGAAGGCACCAGGAAGAAGGACCTGGAGAGGCTGAAGAGCAGCGAAGAGAAGAACCGAGAGCTGGTAAGAGTCGGGGCGCAGGTGCACCCAGAGGTGAGAAGAGGGACCCGGGTGGGGACTGACACTGTCCCCTCGCAGGAGAGACGGCTGTCGGCGCTGGAGAGGGAGCAAGCGGAGCTGCGGGGTGCCATCGCCCAAGCCCTGGGGCACCCCAGGAGGACGGGACGCCGGATGTCGGCGCAGGGTTGGGATGAGAGCGGTGACGATGCTCAGGCCACCAGCGTGTAAGCGGCTGTCCTGATGTCCCCATTGAGTCCCTGCAGCCCAACCACCCACTATCTCCTGTGTCTTTCCGAAAGGTTTTTAATCCCGATCCCATGGCGTGTCCCTTCCCCAGGCAATAAACAGTACTGGTGTCACTGTCACAAGGTGCCTGGCTGTGTCCTGCCACCGCTCGGGGCTCTGTCCCCAGTCCCATCCTGTCCCCCGCAGCCTATGTCTGCCTGGGACATGCCCGGACCTGCGGCAGGGACAGGGACGTCAGGCACATGGTGGCTCCTGGGGACATGGTCATGAGGACCCTTTGAGGCAGTGACAGGGATGGCAGGGCCATGGGGACACTTTGGGGACAACAGGGCCACAGGGACCCTTTGGGACAGAGCCATGAGGACACTTTGGGGACAACAGGGCCATGGGACCCCTGGGGACACGGCCATGGGGACACTTTGGGGACAACAGGGCCAAGGGGACCCTTTGGGACAGGGCCATGGGGACACTTTGGGGACAACAGGGCCACAGAGACCCTTTGGGACAGGGCCATGGGGACCCTTTGGGGAATCACAGGGCCGTAGGGACCTGGGGACATTTTGGGGACAACAGACCCATGGGAACTCCTGGGAACAGGGCCACGGGGACACTGTGGGGACAACTGGGCCATGGGGACCCCTGGGGACAACAGGGCCAAGGGGACCCTTTGGGACAGGGCCATGGGGTCACTTTGGGGACAATAAGGCCACAGAGACCCTTTGGGACAGGGCCATGGGGATCCTTCGGGGACCACCGGGCCATGGGGACCCTTTGGGGAATCACAGGGCCGTAGGGACCTGGGGACATTTTGGGGACAACAGACCCATGGGAACTCCTGGGAAAAGGGCCACGGGGCACACTTTGGGGACAACAGGGCCACGGGGACCCCTGGGGACACTTTGGGGACAACAGGGCCAAGGGGACCCCTGGGGACAGGGCCATGGGGACACTTTGGGGACAATAAGGCCACAGAGACCCTTTGGGACAGGGCCATGGGGCTCCTTCGGGGACCACCGGGCCGTGGGGACCCCTCAGGGCAGGGCCCTGGGGACCCTTTGGGGATCACAGGGTCACCGGGACCCCTGGTGACAGGCCTCTGGGGACACTTTGGGGACATCAGGGCCACAGGGACCCTTTGGGACAGGGCCATAGGGTCTCCTCGGGGCTGACAGGACCCCCGAAGTCCCCTCGGGGCCGCCCCTTCCCAGACCGGCCCGACCTTCCCCTTCCGCCC